CCAACTCTTGGCTACTCTTTTACCAACGATAGTGGGATTGACCGTCACATTATAACGCCCCCACGGCTGAAAGGGCGAGCATGTTTGGTGGGATGGGGATGCCAACCCGCGACCCGCAGATTGCGAGTCGAGCGTCCTAACCACCTGGCCATGCCGGGCCCTCCATCTTTATAGGAGACCTAAACAGTAAACATAAAAACTTCAGATGTAAAACAGCAAATGAAAATGGTAGAAAATTAACAGAATTTATCGATAACACCAATATAGCGTTATTGAATGATGCCACATCAACGCATACATCGTATGCGAACAACTTGATCTCTGCTTAAGCTCATACAACATGAGTCAGAAATTTATAAAATTTAATGCAGGAAAAGATGTTGCTAGCGGTCGTTTACCAATCTAGTGTGTCATCGATCTCACACCCTATAAAAATATAACCTACTAAACAGAAAAATTAATTACAAAAAAAAACAAATTGGCAAGAATATCAAACAGTACTAGATAACTTATTACCTATCAATATAAATCAAACAGCCGCGAACCAATCTGAAATAGATGATTATTGTCTACTAATCGCGGAGAGCCTTAAAAAGGCCACCAAACAAACAATATCACCGCACCAACACACAACAATAAACAACGCATGGAAACCACATTTACAACTAATAACTCATCAAAAAAACGAAGACAATACATGGAAACAGAAGACCAAGCAATAAAAACACAATAATAAATAAAATAAGAACAGAAGTCAAACTTCTAGAACAGGAAAAAATGGGACACTTCTGCTCCCAACTAAATGAAAAAAAAAAAAAAAAAAAAACAATTCTGGTCACATTTAAAAAGATTCACAAATGGAGACAACGCAACAAGAAAATACCCTCCACTAGAATACAGCAACACCATAGCACATACACACTCAGAAAGAGCAGAAGCCTTCAAACAACACTTACAAAACACATCATGAATTGGACATGAATACACACTTCTACAGTAAAGTAAACAACAACATGACAAATAATATGGAAATATAAAAACCACACTTCCCAGTTAACATAGTTAACACAGATACAGAAATAATTATATAGAGGATAACTACGCAACAAAATTGATGATAAAGAAAATAACCGAACAAGAACTCTGGGAAGCCAGCCAATAAACAAAATAGTTACCGTCAAATCAGTCTGACCAGCTGTATAAGCAAAAGTTTTGAACGAATAATTAGTAGTAGACTCTCCACATTCCTGTAGATAACATCCAAATTAACTGAAGTACAAAATGGATTCAGAAAATTCAGGCAAACAACCGATCACTTAGTTAGACTAACTGAATTCACAGTTTTAACAAAAAAGAATGCACTGTCGCATGCTTTCTCGATATATCTACTTCTGACATTCGGAACCTGAGACCATTGTGTCATGCAGTTTCGCATGCTTTCTCGATATCGAGAAAACCTTCGACACTGTATGACACAATGGTCTCAGGTTCCGAATGTCAAAAGTAGAACTGCCGTGCGGAATTATTCGTTGGTTCTCAAACTTTTTGGAAAACAGAAAATGCAGAATAAATGTTGAGGGAACCTTCTCTGAGTTTTTTACTCCGGAGGCAGCTGTCCCTCTATCCTCTTCATCGTGTATGTAAATAACATGCATCTGAAAGATCCAAATTACGAATACTCCTCACAGTTCGCCAATGATGTAGCAGTCTGGAAAAGTGCCTCCACACCATCTACAGCAGCCACGAATTTACAACCCCAATTAAACAGAATAAGTGAATATTGCCAAAAATACAGAACAACTAGTAGTTTTCGTAAAATTAACCAAAAAGAACAACCAAAGATATATATGAACGGAACACTCCTTCATACTGCTACATCCGCCAAATGTTTAGAACTAACATATGATTCAAAACTGACATGAATAAATCATTTAAATAATACCAGAACCAAAATCTGGCAACGAACAAACTATGCCAGGAGTCTAACTGGCAAAAACAGTAGAACAACAGCCGACAACGTACTAAAAAATATACAAAACATATATACGATCCGTTATTGATTACGCAGCTCCAGCATGGATAAATGTCGCACCAAGACTAGTACAACGAAAACTACAAACCATGCAAAACTCACTACTTACAACAGCTTTTAAAGTTCCTAGATCAACTTCCTTCGACTTATTGCACATATTCAAACCTAGAAACAGTAATAGGCAGACTCCTACATAGTACACTAAATTACTTCGCGAAAAATGGGAGAAAAAATAACTTATTATGCGAATTAGACAGATACTGCATACATGATGATAATAGCCCTAAGCACCTGTGAATATATATATATAACAGGCCATCCAACACTAGACATTTAAATCTAACATTACTTTAAGTTATTTTGAAAACATTGTAGTGTATCTATGTAACTGGTCTCATCATAACTTTAATTATGTGTGGAATAGTACAATACCACTGGAACTGTCTGTGAAGCATAGAATTATATGCTAACCAAACGAAGCTATAGTGTGTTACCATACTTACCTACATGGACAGGGTCACGAAAGGCTTTAAAGCAAGTGCGCGTAATTAGCTCTAATCCTCATGTAGTAAATATAATAACAATACTCTGAAACCAACATGTGCAGGAGTCAGGAAGAGGTGAAATGTACCTGACCCTCCCAGTTCTTCAACAACCAAATCCCGATGCAGAGAGAGAGATTCGTTGCTTTATTCGATATATCAGATGCAGTTTTAGTTTTTAAAAACATAAATTATTTGTATTATTTATTGGTTTCTCTGAGAATAATAATATTTATTGTAACTTAATAAAGTGATAAAAATACTATAATTAGTCATAAAAGTTCATTAAAATGATAACAAAGACAAAAGAATGCAGATAAATATTTACTGAAGGAACGTTTTTAAATACAATTGTTACTATGAATTGCAGTTTACAGACAATATTTTGTAAGCACACATATCACCATCAATAATAATATAGAACACATATTTGGACCGTTATTTATATGGTTATTGATATAGGCTATTAATATATGTTCTAACAAATACACACTAGCTTGTAAATTCAAAGACGAAATCATATATTAAAGAAGCTTTAATAACCTTACACAAATTCATATAATTCGAGACTGGTTGATCTACATATTGACAATTGAATCACCTTTTTTATTTGCAACAGACTAAACACATTTCAGGAGTACATTCTACGTGGAGATGGATTTGGATAACATAAAACATAAACACGTGTAAGCAAGTACATTTTTCATACGAAAATCGGCTTTCGGTGAACACATTCCCACAAACTACCACAGGATAGTCCATTGTGCAAAATAAAACAGGATTGTATGATAATGATTAGCGCTAAACATCAATGAAAATTATTAAAATACCGTAAAGTACTTAACGTAGCTAAATATTTTCATTCCTAAATTGGATTGAACCGAAAATCTCTAAAGTTTCTACTGTTCTAGTTTACAAAAACGGTCGTTCAGAGGCGACATAGGTCAAACAATTAAAAGGCCTAAGTTTATAACTTGATATCGTACTTTCTGTAACGTCTTTCAGTTATAGATAATTATTTGAATGTGTTTAGTAAAGGCTATTCATGATGTTCTCAATTCCCTGAAATAACAGATAGATTCTACCGTTTTTCGTGTACTGTTTTTAACCCTTGTTGTTCGATTGTTTTTTATTATATATATCTAAAATAAGGAAAACAAAGAACCACTTTACCAAACAGTAATATTTTCAAGCTTAAAAATTCTTATAATATGTACTTTAGGAAGTAGTTCATGCAGGTGTACAACAGTATATTTAAGTACACTAATAATAATAATGTGGGTTATTGTCAATATATTACAGAATAACGTGGATATAACTTTTAATATTTATTGTATTACAAGCTAAGCAGAATGTCTGAAAGTAAAAACATCTTATTTAGACATCCTGTAAGAGTTATTAAAAAGATACATAATTAATTTTAAGACGTAGGAGTCACGAATGTTAGTTACAAGTAACAAGTAGAAATCAGCACACCGGTTGTATGAAACAGTTGTTAGAAGGTGGGAATTCGTTCATAATTTCTGATTCTAAATGCTGAAAAAAATCTGCGTTGGTCATTAGGGCATCAACAGCTTCTCCTTCCAGCCAGTAGGTGACTACTTTCCCTTTTCCCTGTTTGAATAACATTTTGTTTTAAATATATTTTAATATAAGTAATTAAAAATGAGAAGACATATTAAAGAACACTTTCTAATTATATGTATAAAATAATATGGTTGTATTTTAATACTTCGTAGCAAGATCTTTCTGATTTAGTTTCTGAAACTAAATATACATAAATAACACATAAGATAAATATATAGATATATTTGTACAAATTTCATATGGATTCCTTCGCGCATGTATCTAAGGTACCTGATGATGACAAAACCTTGTCGAAACGTTGTACATTTGCTGTTATATTAAAGTTTTTCTTCATTTCCCATTCAAGCCGTCTCCAGCCATTATTAGTCTCAAAGTGGGTTCCTCGTCATCGAATTTGTATCTAACTTATGATGTTCACGAAACCTTACATTTAATAATTTATCCTCCCAGCAGAGGTTTTCACACAAAACATGCCATATAGTAGTGTGTTACCTAACATGAAACGCGCTTCACTCTCTGTGCTTAGAAGATAACCCATCTTTGTAATACGAAGTTCTGCCAACAAAAATGTCAGTGGAATATATATCACTTTACAACAGTTGGATGAGAACTTTATAATCAGGAATCACGAAAACAACAACAACAACACTTTTCCAAGTAACCATCCTGAAAAGCTTACATTAATACCTTGACTCACCTTACAATATTTTGAACGAAATAAGGTTAAACGTCACAACTATAAAGGTTTTTATTTATTTTCTGTATAAATAACAGCTACCAAAGAAATAAATACTGTTTATATTATCTACGGTATTGTGTGTCCGTTTTCCTTCACCATATAGGCATTAGGCCTCTATATCACAGATTCTCTTTTCAATTTTACCTCTGTTAAAAAAAAAGAAAATAATTCTATAACATAAATATACAAATACTGTTTACCTTTAGTTCTACTTCCCCTCGAACTGAAATGATGAATGTTTGAAAGGTGTCTAAGATAGTCTTAGAGGTAGGACTAACGTGGATCCTGTTTGCTGAAATTGAAATGTAAATATATTGTTACGTTTTTTCAAAGCACTAAATTTTTACTTGTTCTATATTTCACAGCACAATAAGCAAACCTGTTATACCAGAAAGATACATATTGTAAGGAATTAAAAAAATTATCAAACGACCGTAAAGTACTTAATTAACGTAGCTAAAATTTTTCATTTCTAAATTGGATTGAACCTATTGCTTCTGTTTTAGTTTACAAGAACGGTCGTTCAGAGGCGCCATAGATCAAACAATTAAAAGGCCTAAATTTACAACTTGTTAACACACTTTCTGTATCGTCCTTCAGTTATAGATAATTATTTGAATGTGTGTTGTAAGCAAATGAAACATGAGTAATAGCTATCCCTAATGTTCTCAATTCCCTGAAATAACAGATAGATTCTACCGTCTCTCGTGTACTGTTTTAACCCCTGTTGTTCGATTGTTTTTTATTATATATATCTAAAATAAGGAAAACAAAGAACCACTTTACCAAACAGTAATATTTTCAAGCTTAAAAATTCTTATAAGATGTACTTTAGGAAGTAGTTCATGCAGGTGTACAACAGTATATTTAAGTACACTAATAATAATAATGTGGGTTGTTGTCAATATATTACAGAATAACGTGGATATAGCTTTTAATATTTATTGTATTACAAGCTAAGCTAAATGTCTGAAAGTAAAAACATCTTATTTAGACATCCTGTAAGAGTTATTAAAAAGATACAGAATTAATTTTAAGACGTAGGAGTCACGAATGTTAGTTACAAGTAACAAGTAGAAATCAGCACACCGGTTGTATGAAACAGTTGTTAGAAGGTGGGGATTCGTTCGTAATGTCTGATTCTAAATTAGATAGATAAGTAAATTATATTTACTCTTTTCACAGCTCTTATGGCTATAAACACTAAATAATAAATGACTTATAGACTTATGCCTAATACCACTAGTGACTTTAATAAGTTTAAAAATTGAGCATTTATGATTAATGCCTTAGTTTCAGTCTCAATTTTCTAGTCACTTTGGAAGGTTTTCACTTATGTTAGGAGATATTACTAACTGATCAAACACTTATTAACCTTTTCCTGACTAAGTAAAACGAATGGAATTATTATTTTTTAATTGATACTTTATCACTATAACAAGTAGTACTTTGAAAACTCTGGCATCATGTGGTGTCGTCATATGAGAACAGGAGAAGGCTGGGAAAGCTAAAATCTAAAAATATTAGAATAAAGAAGTAATAATCCTCTCAATAAATATTAATTTTAATGCTTTTCATAAACAAAAACACTTATGTATATTATTACTTTTGTGTTATGTGTCTTAAACTTAAATTTTAGGAGACACCTTAAGCTATAAGTGCTTATTCTTTCATTTTAATAAAAGTTAGCTTTGAAAAACCAAACGATTGAACAATTGTAACTGTTTTAATTTACTGAAATGTTTACGTTGTTAATAATCGAAACAAATATTACTTATCTCAACTATCAGAAGTAATAAAACAGATCAGGTATTACATTATAATGGGCAGGAAAATAAGTTACACTATATCAGCTTCAAAACCACTAAACAATATGCCCATTCTTTAGTGAATTCAAAAGTTCCTAAGGCATAGCTATGTTCTATTATTTTCACAAATTTACTATAAAGGTGGAGTTCATGAATATTCTGGGTTAATTCGAAATATAAACATAAATAAATAAATATACTTCTCAATGTTTTGTATAGAAAAACTAGAAATAACAAACTGTTTGTATATCTAAAACTGAATTATTACTCAAAAAATACATTTATGTAGAATCTGTACCTTCTCCACTGCTTTCCATGCGAGAAGCTGTATTTACTGTGTCACCGAATAAACAGTAACGTGGCATTTTCAAACCAACCACACCAGCAGCGCAAGGACCTAAAATAGCACAATTCCATTCTCATTGAGTGAGTCAGAGACTCTTTTTATTACTAAACATCATTGAATTAAATGAATGAATACTTACAGTATGACAGCAACTTAATTTTAATTCCTACTCACTGACTCGGATCTGGAAACGAGCGACCATTTAGTTCGTGCAGCAAGTTGTACGCATATTTATATTTATTGCATAGCTATTAAAGTTGTATGCCACCGTCCCAAGTTTTAAATTACTGACCAAAAGGTAGGTAGCCAGTCATAAGCACCCTACCACCTATCATCCACACTACGGCACTGCTTGTCACGCTTATAACGCACTTATAGCTTAAAGTGCGAGGTCGCCAGCTCCGAAATCCAGAGCTCTACTACAAGATTAACCCGCGTCCCGTAAGAAAGAATTGATTTCAACAAGACTCCACACTGGCTGTCGTTTTCCCAACTTACTACCTTCTTTATTTCAAAATCACCAGTAACTGTTCAAGTTATGTGCCCCCTACCTAACCTGTTACCCTTGTATTGATTCCCTTCCGGCGCTTTGATGTTCTGTAGCGGAAGTGTTTGTGACATGTTTATTTATGGTATGTTCCATTTATTTTGGACAGTAACATTGAGAGGGCTGACACTGTCTTATAATGGTTGGAGACGGCTTGAATGGGTAATGAAGAAAAACTTTAATATAAGTTTAACATAACAGCAAATGTACAACGTTTCGACAAGGTTTTGTAATCATTAGGTACCCATTCAAGCCGTCTCCAGCCATTATTAGTCTCAAAGTGGGTTCCTCGTCATCGAATTTGACACTGTTTTAGTTGACAATGTTTTTTGTTTTTTTAATTTATGCGACCCTTTGCTTTTCATAATATTGTTTACATTGTTACTCTATGCATTTTACCATTTACTCACGTTTATTGTTTAAAGTTTATGATTGTATTTCGTTTATTTGATTTGTAAGTTTTAATTTGTTATACACGCTATTTTTGCGCAGATGGTCTTCGTCGTTTTGCGTCATAAACAGATGATTTATATAGAAAGAAAGAAACTATAGAAAGTTGCAAGAAAGAATGTGCACCTCGACAGAAATTGATGCAGTTCCATGGTTAGGTAGAATAATGAATCATTAATAGTTTATTGCGCTTGTAAACAGCGAAAAATGGCGTGAAGATACGAAATATGCAAACAATTCTGGTTTTGAAATTACATTATCACTTATAGACACAGTTTCCACGAAAAGCCTGGAATAAAACTTTTTTATTTTTTGGAAGTAAAGCTATCGAATGGAGTACACAAAATAATAAACAAACAAACAACAAATTCCCAATATTGTCTAGCAAACACGAATAACGATGAAAGTAAATTTCCAAAAACAATAATGTTAGCATTACATTTAGTATTCCGATATTAATTCTTTTTTGTCGCTAATTTCCGATGGAATTATTTAGTATCGTACCTCTGACTGAATTCTTGTATATAAGAGAGCAATAGTAGTAATAGTATCGTGGTCGTAAAAAAAATATAATTTCAAATAGGAAATTTAGCAAAAAAATTAAAATATGTCAGCTCAAATGCTTACCAGTGTGTATACCAATTCTGATCTGCATTTTTCGTCCCGGACGATGGCGGATCTTGAAGTTGTGGATAGCTTCTCTGAGCCTAAGGGACATGCGTGCAATCTCCCTAGCATGTTCATTACCATTCAAAACGGGTAGACCTGACACGACCATATAGGCATCTCCGATAGTCTCAACCTTAAAAACAAAAGTTAGTTTTTTTTCTCTCAAAAATGAACTTGATCGAAGGAATAGAAACGGTAAGACAGAAAATTTGTTTACCACTAATTTCTATGATTTCTACAAAAATAGTTAAAGATAACTAAAAATAACCGAAAACAGTTGTGTGAAGAACTGTCTATCTATTTTGGAATAACCAGATTTAACTTTATCTTCTAATTTGCTATCATGAAAGATGCAGCCAGTGCCATAACCATTTTGTACCTTATCAGACATATCATCTATCAAAGCTGCATTTAACATGGCATCAGAGATAAAACCAGCTTGTTTATTTCGTGGTGTATTTTGACTGTTCCAGGTGTTGCTAATTTATAAAAGGTTTTTCATCTTTAAAAAATGTTTTTTTAGCTTCCCAGCAAGGGCTACCTTGACTAAAAAAAAATGGACGTCTGTCTTGAAAGCAGAGATGATTTTAATCTATGAAGTAAGTTATCAAGATGAACAGCATAACTGATTATCTTTTGGTGATGACAAGAAGTTGGTCTTGTAGTGATAAGACTACAAATATATTTAACTGTATGACTAGCCAGCTTTGATGTGACTAGTGGCTAGTAGATGATTCAATATTTT